TGCCCAAGGGACTGGCGCCTCTGACGCGCGCGCCGACGAGCCGTCGCCTAGGCGACCGCGGACGGTGACGTCAGGGGCGCCGGCCGCCCGAGGCCCGCCCGCCTCCCGCCTGTGCTTCTGCCCGGCGCCCCCTACCGGCCGCGGTGGGCGCTGCGGGAGAGCCCCACCCCACACTCCGCGCAGCGCCGCGCTTCACGCCGGGCACTAACCTGGGAGATGATCCTAGTCCCGGGAACGGCTCTCTGAAGGCTCCGCAGGGCCCCCGGCACAGGACAGTGAAGCCTGTGTCACTGTGGCCGTCCTCCTCTCGGCGCCCCATGTATCGGGGGTCCTATTTGACCCCAAATCCCAGCCTCGGAACCGCTGCGGGGGGGCGCACGAGGCGTGATGGGGGAACCTCAGGGACCCGCAGGACGGTGGGCGGGGGGAGGATCTTTCTGGTGCAGAAACCACTGGAACTCTCCCTCTGCAGGGACAGAAGAGGACCGCAGGCCAGTGCCACACTCCAAATTGGCCCCCACCCTGTCCCGGAAAGGGCCCCCCAAATGCCAGAGATGGCCTTCTGGAACCCAACTTACAATGAAAAGCTTAAGTCAGCAAATTTCAATTTTTCAGCAACTTAGAAACTTAAAGCATAAGACAACCTGGCCATCTGGAACCCCCAGAGAGGGTTTGTCTTGGTGGGGACCATGGCAAGGTGGGGTGCGTGGACACAGATATGGACAGTACACTGCCAGTCACAGCTCCCCTAGAGCTGTTGTAGGGTCCCAGTGGCCAGGACCACACTTTTCCGCAGGACTGGGAGCTCTGGTCCATTTCCCCTGGGTAGGGGTCCATGTGCCCTGGCCCACCCTGCTGTCCCTAGACTGCACCCAGCACGAGGTGAGGCTGGGCCCCTGGGCAGATTTGGGACTGATACCAAGGATGGTGAGCAGAAGGAGGGAAGGCCCAGAGCCCTAGGGGCGGCCCTTTGAGGGGAGGTCAGAGGAGTGCGTGGAATGGTCTGCGGTGACCACTTCTAAATTGTACTGCTGTTGGCTTTGTGTTCCTTTATGCCTCCTCAGAAAATAAAAGTCTCTGGAAAGACAGGAGGTATGGATGAATAGTCTAAACATCAGGAAGGCAGCAGTTGGGATTTTAATTCTGCTTCTAGGCTAACATCGTTCAAGGAATTGCCTGGAGGAGGGGCAAGAATTACACAAAATCAATGCCAACTTAGAACCTTCTTGCAGGAGGCTTCCGTTTGTGGGCAGATGCCTGGGGACTGGGCCGGCCTGGCCTGGGGAGGGCACCTCGGAGAAAGCGGATGTGCCTCTCCTGGTGCACAATCACAGCCTGACCAAACATTTCCCAATCATACCCCCGCACACACACACACAGGGGTTGTTTTGGGGTCAGTTTGTTTTGAAACGCTTTCAAGGACACAAGTAGTCCCAAAGAGTTCCTCAGTCTTGCGAAGCACTCTCTTTATTTGTCCCAGGTCTATGTGCCATGAATTTGGAGGAATATTTTTAGTTCCTTCCAGCCAAACAGTTTACAACGGCTTTTCTCCACTTCTGGGAGTCCCAGCACCCTGCTAATCTATTCCTAGAACTAACTGAAAGGGAAGAAGCCAGGGACCTGACCACACTCACATTGGCTCCCTCATTGTGTGACTTAACCCCTAGGAATCAAATACCCCTTTCCCAGATCTAGTCCCAGATCTAGCCAGAGTTGGTCAAAAGACCATGGGTGTTTGTAAACACCTGGTCGACTGGAATGTTTAGCACCAAATAAAAGCTCCAGCCAGAGAGCCTGAGAGCCAAAGCTGCCTCCTATAGACAGTTCCTGTAGCCAGGTGCACTTAACCTGTCAAGCTGAACCCTTTCTGAGATTTCAGTGCTCTGCCAGCCCTGTGCCAGCAGTGGCCAGACAGTCGTCCTTCCTCAGGCTCTGGGGAAGAGCTGGCTCTGTGCAGAAAGGCAGGCCATGCAGAAGAGGCTGACCTCTGAATGGATTGTCACCTCTCCCCAGCAGGGTTCCTCTGGCACCCTCACAGTGAGTCTGTGCATTTGCCACTGATAGGTCTCTCCTGGTGCACAACCCCAGCCTGACCAAACATTTCCCAATCATATCCCTGCGCGTGCATGCACACACACACACACACACGGGTTGTTTGGGGGTCAGTTTGTTTAGAAAGGCTTTCAAGGACACAAGTAGTCCCAAAGAGTTCCCCAATCTGTGCATTTGCCTCTGCCTCCCAGGGTCTTTGGTTATTGGGTCATTGGTGCCTGGAGCTATATTTCCTTCCAGAATCCTGATTTCTCTTCAGTTTTCATTTGTCCATGCTTTGCACATGTGCTAAGAAAAAAATACGTAGTGCATGCTTCTGAAGATGCAAGCAAATGAATCGAGGATTTTTCACTCCATGTAATGGAAGAAATACATTCAGCCTCAAAGTCTTCAGGAATGTGCCACTGGTGTGTGTGGGGGAGCGGGAATAATATATCATTGCATTTGGGTAAAGCAGCAAGTCAATTTACTTTTCCATTTTGGAATTTCTTTTTCTTTTTTTTTTTTTTTTGCCCCCCAGAGGGGATGGCCACGCCACAGTCCCTTCTCCTCCATTCTCCTCTCGGGATCTTGAGCACGCACGCACATGTGCCCGGCATGAGTTTTAAGCCACCAGGTCCGGGACAGGAACCACGGTCGACTACGTGGGAGTCTAGCGACATAGCCATTACGCTAACTGCTGGTTCCCAAGGCACTTTCTTTCTTGACCCTCCCCTGCTAGATAGCACAGCCCTCTGGGCATTGTCCTATTTGTGCGTGCGTGTGTGTGTGTGTGTGTGTGTGTGTGTGTGTGTTT